CTAGCGATTCTGTCCAGCTCTTTCTCGATGCAGACCTGAGCTGGGTCCAATCTCTTCCCTCCAAGACTCCCTGCCGCCACCACACCACACACACACACACACACACACACACACACACACACACACACACACAGCAAAAACACTGCAGCCATGTCCCCTCTTCTTTGGTGGTCTCCACTGCCACACAGCCCACTAGCATAATTGAGAAGACACCAGAGACAATTAATTAAACATCATGAACTTTTTTTTAAATGACAAGTCAGTAGTTTCTTCCTTCTTCCTACACTCTCCCAGAATAAGAATCTAGACCAGAGGGTGATTACAGTCTTAAGTCAGTAATGCTACAGACTCATTCACAGGTAAGTTGAGAGTGGGTATAGAGTGTGAGCCACCAAACCATTAATCAGAGCACTGCCTAAGTGGACTTCACCCCACTTTCCCCAAGACTAACTCAAGTAGTGGGATGTCCCTCATGGCCCCCCAACCTCCTCTACCCACCACGGGCCCAGCCCTTCCCTCCCATTATGTTAATGGTAGCTTTTCCCAAAAGGGTGGCCTTGGGGACCAGTGGGTCTGCCTCTCCTTGGGCATCAGATAAATATCACAACTGCCTCCTTCCCACCACCATACCCACCATACCCAATGCCCAGATTCTCCTCCATCTTTTACAAGCCAAGGGGCAGCCACACACGTTAGAAGTCAGTGTGGCGTGCTCCTGCTTCATCAGCTCTGTCATCGGGGAGAACAGAAGGAGGGCAGGAGGGGCGTTGGCAGTTTCGTGAGCAGGTGATCTGAGGTCACGGGTAGAGCAGCCCCTGTACTTCTTACCTGTGAGCTCAGGAGGTCCTTTCCATCTCTACCTCCATTCATCGTCTGCTAAACGCCCTACCTCCTTCACTCTCCATGGCACTGCGGGGCAAAGGGCAGAGGCAGGGCCTCTGGTCTTTACAAAGAGCTTCCGGAGGTAAGACCAACGCAGAACTGACTTAGAGTCCAGAAAAACTGGGCTTGGGACTGGTAGGAAACTCAGGGTGGTAGGGACCAGGCTGCAGCTGTGACCACAGTGATGCCAGGAGGACCTGGGACCCAACCCCCAGCCTCCTCACATCACAGCTAGTGTGAAAGGCATACTTTTAACAGTCATCCAAAGCTTTAAAAATGTGCCCTGACAGGATCCCTTCAGCCAGGAACTACTACTTATGATCATGAGTTGGTAAGAGTGCTGTCTCCAAGCCCTTTGCCAACACAAAGCTACAGATAACAGACACCTTTCCTATCACCAATCCAACCCACAAACCCGGAAATCAGAGGCCATCACTGGGTGCTCGGATTTGAAGATTTCCCAACTGAGCACACACAGTGCCTGAGGACAAGCTCTCTGTCCTGCTAGTCTCCAGGCTATGGAGCCCAATTCCATACATGTTTGCAGCTCTGCCAGCTCCTGTTGTGAGCCCATGGAAGCTGCAGACCTGTTCCATTAGCTGCAAAATTCCAGCAGCACTGCTATAAATAGCACATGGCTTACTTTACTAACCTAAGTAGCTGTGTGTGTGTGTGTGTGTGTGTGTGTGTGTGTGTGTGTGTGTACATGTGCGAGTGTGTGCATTTATATGTATGTGTGTACATGTATTGTATATATGTATGTGTGTGTAGATATGTGTGCATGGTATATATATGTATGTGTTTGTGTATGTATGTGTGGACAATGTGTATATGGTATGCATTTGTGTGTGTGTGTGTACATGTACATATGATGTATATGTGTATGTGTGAATGTACACAGGTGTCCACAGCACACAGAAGCCAGAGGAAGACATCTAGTATCTTACTCTATCACGCTCCACCTTATGTTTTAAGACAGCAATGGGGCTACAGGCATGCAGTTACACCCCGTTTTTTCTTTTTCACCTGTGTGGTAGGATTTGAACTCTGGTCCTTTTGTTTTCACAAACACTCTTGCTCATGGAGCTCTCACAGCCCCTCAAGAGTTGGATTATTTGTTCACTATAATATAAAATTTAATTTCCCATGTGTATATGAAATGCTCTTTTAGATTATAATAATTCATTTGAATTATCCAAGCCAATGACACAAAATTTTTTGAAGATGCTTTTGTACAGAAAAACACCTCCTGGAGACTGCAACTGTTCCCTGAGATGGAGCCTGTCAGCACCCAACTGGACTAAGAGGCCAGTTGGCAGGCAGACCTCCTGCAAGACAGGTCAGACTATCACCATCTACCACACAGTAAGACTGCAGCTACTCCCTGAGACAGAGCGCACCAGCGCCAGTTGGACTAAGAGCTGCTCCCTGAGACAAAGAGTCCATCAGCATCAACTAGACCAAGAGCTCCCACTGGATCAAGAGTATCAATCAGACCTAGAGAGGCTCCCTCAGACACAAACACTGCTTGCACCAAGTGGAGAAAGAGGTGGGTAGACGCCAGTGCAAAAATACAGTCAACAACATAAAAACCAATATGACTCCATCAGAACCTACATCAGCAAGACCTGAACATCCCAACACAGACGAAACAGAAGATATCTACCATAAAAATTACTTTAAGAAGATATTATAGATCTTAAAAGAAGAAATGAAAAATTCCCTTAAAGAAATCGAGGAAAAGTCAAACAAAAAATGGGAAGAAATCAGTAAATCCCTTGAAAGCCAAGAGAAAGCAATTAAACAAGTGAGGGAAACAGTTCAAGATTTCAAAACTGAAATGGAGTCAATAAAGAAGACACAAACTGAGGTAATGCTGGAAGTAGAAAATCTGAGTAAATGAACAGGAACTACAGATGCAAGTATAACCAACAGAATGCAAGAGATGGAAGAGCGGGTCTCTGGCATTGAAGATACGGTAGAAGAAATAGATTCATCAGTCAAAGAAAACACTAAAACTAACAAAGTCATGGCCCAAAATGTCCAGGAAATTTGGGACACCATGAAAAGACCAAACCTAAGAATAATAGTGATAGAAGAAGAAGGATACCAACTCAAAGGCACAGAAAATATATTCAACAAAATCATAGAAGAAAACTTTCCCAACCTAAAGTAAGAAATGCCTATAAAAATACAAGAAGGTTACAGAACACCAAATAGACTGGATCCAAAAAAAAAGTCCCCTCGCCACATAATAATCAAACCACTAAACATACAGAATAAAGAAAAGATATTAAGAGCTGCAAAGGAAAAAGGCCAAGTAACATATAAAGGCAGACCCATAAGAATAACACCTGACTTCTCAATGGAGACTCTAAAAGCCAGAAGGTCCTGGACAGATGTTATACAGATACTAAGAGACCATGGATGCCAACCCAGACTATTATACCCAGCAAAACTCTCAGTCAACATAGACAGAGTAAACAAAATATTCCATGATAAAACCAGATTTAAAAACACCTCCCAATATGCTCTGCAACTCACACTGAAGAATGCCAACATCCTCTTCAGAGGTGATTCTGAGCTTGCAAGTGGTCTTTCCAGACTCATGTAATCTTCTGGCAAAACTCAGAAGCCATCCAGGAATTAGCCCTTGAAATGCTTGCACACACCTGTGATGCCAGCACTGAGAAGGCCAAGGCAGGAGGATTATAAGTTTAAAGCCAGCTACATTACAAGTATCAGGTTAACTACACAATGTAGTGGATAGCTGTTCCAGCTTTGACCTTGAAACACTGCCCCTAGTGTAAGAGCAGGTAACTGCCACACCTGCCTATGACCTGCCCCTGGGGTGTGGCTGAGAGGGATCCTTCTAAGACTGATGTGCTTGCCCCTTCTGGATACCTCCTGGTCCTGGAAGCTGGATGGTAGACCAAGCCAGATTTCTCCGCTGGATGGTACCTCATCTCTCCCGGATCCTGTAACCAACCCCTATTCGCTGTAAGCTACCCCAGAAATAAACCTCTCTCGATTACCAGATAAATTACGTGGAATTGCCTCATTAATTACAGTTATAGCACAAGACCCTGTTTCAAAAAAAATAAAGGATTTTAAAACATAGCACACCAACAGAGCAGGGCTGGTCTGGATCTAACACATGTGCGCATCCAAGCTCTGTCTTCTGTACTCTAACCCTGGCAGCATTTGGTAGGGAAGCTACCCCTCAGCCAAAGAGTAACATGGCTGTTTGGTTTCCCTGCAGGAAGCAGCTGGTGTACTCAGCAAATGCAGAGGCACAGGGATGCCATCAGCCAGGGCTTCCTCCCAGGGATGGGAGTAGACTCTCCCTTCCCTAAAGGGCATGTCATGTCTCAGCCCAGCCTCCAGATGGCTGCCTAGATACCACGGTCAATCCTCCTGACCTCTCTGTTACCTAAGACAGTGAGGTCCCAGTGCTGAGCACACTGGTTTATCAAGCAAGCTGCCTTATCTTAATCCGGAATGGAGGAGAACTTCCCACTGAGCACTAGCCGCATAGGAATCTACATGGTTGCAGAGTGTTTACAAGACTAAGACTCCAAAGCAACAGACCCCACACCTATCGCATTCAACCCCAGCATGTACCCGAGTAGCCCAGCAAACAGTCACCTCCAAACTCATTGCAATATTCACCCAGAAAACAGAACAAGAGGAAATGCATGGGTCACCACAAGTTAATAGCCTATGGCACAGCTGGCGTCGGGTGTAGTTAAGAGAAGGCTCCACCCTCAGAATATCCAGCAGGTATACATCCAGAAGTTGAGTGCCAAAGGGGAGACTCTCTGGTACAGCGACCATGCATGGCTGCTTTCACAGCCTCCCCTCTCTGAGCCAGCAGCTGCACTCCACACAGAGGAAGAGTGAGCCTTCGGTCTCTTCTGCACCCGCTCACTGACATGCAGGGCCTCTGGGCCTCCAAAGGACAGGAATGGCAGGCAGGGCATCCATGGCACATGCTCCCTCTGCTGCGGTCATCGCTCATGCTGCCTCCCACCCACTCGGTGACTCTGGTGCTGACCGCCCCCATTTCATTCAGCTTTAAAGACATGACAACAAGGTCCAAGAGTTGAGGGATGTACCTGACTCTCTCTCCCCTCCAGGGGCGGCGGAATCTGATCAGCAAAACCAATCTTCCCTGGATCACCCATAAAGGCACTAACCTCATCCACGTTCTCAAAGGCGTTGATGACGTCATAGGGCAAACAGGACAGAAGGTCGATCACAAACCATGTCTTCAGGTAGTTCATGCGGATAAGTTTGGGGTCAGATATCACTTCCCCCGCTGGCCCGACAAAGGTGGTATGAAAATTCAGAACAATGTCCACCAGAAAGATGACGTCCACGATGCTGTCCACCACTAGCCAGGCCACGTTATTCTGTCTGGTTTTAAAGGAGACGTTGTAAGGGACCAGGATGGCTGTGTAGAAGGTCAAGATCAAGATGATCCAATCCCACGTGGTCTTAAAGACACAGTAGTGTAAGATGATGTGAGGGGGTGTCTTTGGCGCTTCTTGCTTGTACTGGGGAAGGATGTCTGAGCCCAGCTGCAGGACCTGTCCAGAAAAACATGGCCAAGAGAGACAGGGTTAGGGTTTAACAGAAGCATCTTACCAGTCGGTATCTGCTAACGGCAAATGCTCGCAACTCTTTGAACAGATCATTAGCCACGATAACAGATGCTGAAGGAGAATGGGAGAATTTATGTGAGCATGGTAACGGAAGTGCTCATACCGAAAGGATGGCAGCCTGTCGTCTGGCTGACTGTAAGCTGAGCAGTGTGCTAAATACTTCAACTGCATTTATTGTCTCGCTCATTTCTAAACACAACCTTGTTTGTTTCTTTCCCTCTAGACAATTTCTTATGTGACAAGCGAGACGCTGAGCAGGAGAGTTAAGCAACTTTGTTCAACCAGCATTTATATATTTATTGTTCTGCCCAGGAACAGTGTGGTGTAGGCCCTGGGCATCCGACAATGGAGAGAGAACATGTACTTGCTTGGAGCTCAGTCTCATAGGCATGTGGAGGATCACTTCAAACTGTGCTGAGGGCTGATTTGATGCCTTTCCTGAGAAAGAGAGGTGGGGATAAGAGAGTCCATCCTCCACCTCTGCACAGAGCTCTTCTGAGCTTGAGGCAGAATTTCTCTTCCTGTGAAAAGGACCTCTTCCTAGAGCAATCAAGGAGGCTTGGGGGCTGGCTGAGGGGTAGCTCAGTCAGTAGAGTGCTCCCCTAACATGTACAAAGCCTGGGTTGGATCCTCAGCACCACAGAGGCCAGGTGTGGTGGACCCTGCCTGTAATCCCAACACTGGAGAAGGATCGAGGAAGTCAAAAAAATCAGAAGTTCAAGGTCATCTTGGCTACATAGTGAGTTTGAGATCAACCTGAGACACGTGAGACCCTGTCCCCCTCCCACCGAAAAAGGGGAGCTCGGCTCAAAGAATAAAGCAAACAAAACCAACCAAATAGAATTGCTTCTGAAAACACCGAGTATTAACAAAGACACAGCAGGATGCTCCCTTGACTTTGTTCCTTAGGTGCCTGGTCTTAGAAAGGAAGAAGTAACCTGGAAATACCAGGGCACTCAGACAATACCACTCTCCACACAGAAGCCCGTTTCCCGTTTCTCCAGCTAAAGGACCAGCATCATGCAGCTGCTCCCAAAGACAGAAGCTGCGAGACAATGACTGCTGGAGCCGCCGTGCACTGTAGAGACTACTGTGCCCTGCGGCAAAAGTCCTCTTGGAAGCCTGTTTTCCCTTCCCAACTGTGCCCTGCGGCAAAAGTCCTCTTGGAAGCCTGTTTTCCCTTCCCAAAAGTTCCAAGGAAGCAGCCACCCTCTCTCCCTGCAGGGGTAAATCATGCAGAGGAGGCAGCCCTCACCATACCCCAGCAGTATGAGGTCACCCCTGCTACCCACAGCCCAGAATGGTATCAATGCAAGAAGAAAGAGTTGGGAGGAGGAACCACCCTGGTCACCTCACAACGAGGAGCACCCTGCTAGACACAGAGGCACATACTTGTGATGCCAGAAGGCTGAGGCCGGAGGAGCATTGCAAGTTTGAAGCTAGCCTGGCCTACACAGTGTATCCCTCAGTGTCAGTAGAGACAGAATGACAAAGTGTTCTTTGACCCAAGCTGGACAGAGACTGGGAGGAGCCTGCCCTGTCCTCTGCTGTGTAAGTGTTAGAGGGAAGCTACCCCAAACCAAAGCTCTGGGAGAGATCTAAAGTCAATATCCAAAAACGTCCAGGTCCACAAATGCCATTCATTATACAAAGAACCTCAAGAAGAACAAACTGAGTGAAAAGTCGTTCATCATAGATGCCAGCACCAAAAATGGCATAGACATCAGAAGCATCCAACACGAGATGTCTTGGACACGCTTGAAAACAAATGGAAACACGGGAAGTCCTGGCATAGAAAGAGCAGATACAAAGAAGAGCCAGATGGATGCTTCAGACCCCGCCCCCAATACAGTAGCTGATAAAAAAAAAAATCCAGTGGATAGCTTCAGCAATGGAACCTCCGGGGAGTGGAGGAATAAGTAATATGAAGATAAAACACAACTGGAATCATCCTGCAGTTCCTGTTCTGTGACAGACATGACCACAGCAACTCAGAGAGAAGGGCACAGTACAAGAGAACCAAACTACCAGGAAGACGGGGTGACCCTCATGTGAATGCACTGAAAAGAATTTCAGAGTGCATGAAGCAAAAACTTATAGAAATGAAGGGGGGAACGCATGCATGGCACATCTCTCTCCAGGAATGGTAGAGCACTAGGTAGAAAATTAGCAAGGATGGTAGATGTAGCTCGTGGTGGAGCGCTTACATAAGACCTTGAGTTCCATCCTCACATGAAGTAAGAAAGAGGGAAGGAAAGGAGAGGGAGAGAATTCCCAAGGACATAGAATTTGATGATACCAAGATGCCATTGAATTTGATACTGATAGAACGCTCTTCCCTCAGGAGCAGAACATCCAGTCTCTTCAAAGGTACACAGAGCATTACCCAGAGAGCCTAATGCTTGTCTATCAGACAACCCCAAACACTTAAGTAAAACCACACAGCACCTGTCCTCCACCCACACACGCTGTAAATCGATCATGGAAAGACAGCAAGAAAATATCCAAACACTTGAAAACTAAACAGCACATTCTTTAATAATCCATGGGCCAAACAGAAGTATCAAAATACAATTTAAAATACGCTGATTTCAAAGGGAACAAAAACTCAGCACATCAGAGCTTGTGGAACGCTGCTGAGGATGAAACTCAAAGTGTTATGTAAGTGCTCCACCATTGAGCTACATACATCTTCTATCATCCTTGCTAATTTTCTACCTAGTGCTCCATCATTCTTTGAGAGAGATGTGCCATGGATGCATTTCCCCCTTCATTTCTATAATGCTGCTGAGGCAGAGCTGAAAGGGAACGGTGCAGAGATAAAAGTGAGGGTCTCTAGCCAATAATCAACCTCTCACCCCAAGAAACTTTGTGGAGAACCAGTTAGAGCAAAGCAAGCAGAAGGAAATCATGCCAGGCGGTGGTGGCGCACACCTTTAATCCCAGCACTCGGGAGGCAGAGGCAGGTGGATCTCTGTGAGTTCGAGGCCAGCCTGGTCTACATAGTAAGTTCTAGGAAAGGCACAAAGCTACACAGAGAAACTCTGTCTCAAAAAAAAAAAAAAAAAAAAAAAAAAAAAAAAAAAAAAAAAAAAGAAGAAGGAAATCATAAACACAGTCAACGGAAGCCAAGGCAAAGGAAGAGAGGACTCTGGGACTGGGGCGGGGCAGGGGGTGAACTACAGCTCAGTTATTAAGGCCCTGGGTTCACTCCCCAGCACCAGAATATGAAGTAAAAATGGCACAGACTGGCAAAGAGAAATGATGATGAATGAGTCGTAGATTATCAATGGAAACCCCAGAGACAAGGAAAAACAGCAAGGAAGGGTGATGACGGCTGGGTACTTAGAAGCTTCAACAAATGGATCCCAAAGACACAGTGTGGCAACTCACAGCCTAGACCCAGGGGGTCTAGACCCACATTCTTACTGTTAAAACTTCCAAAACAGAACACCAGGCCCAGGTGGTTTTCATGAGAACATCTCCGAATTTAAAGACGAATTCACAGCAATTTTACACAGTTTCTTGCAGAAAATAGAATCAGAAGGGATGCTTCTCAATCCATTCTGTGAAATTAGTGTTACCTTGATTCCCAGACTGCACAGAGAACTACAAATATCCCTCATAAACATATATACAAAGTCCCTAACAGCTGGCAGCAGAGAGCACTTAGCAGTATTCAAAATCAATTACTATAGCAGTATATTCCAGGAGTGCAAGCTAATTCAATACCTGAAAAATCAGTGAATGATAAAATTCAGTACCCATTCATGATATATATTTTTTTTTTTTTTTTTTTTTTGGTTTTTCGAGACAGGGTTTCTCTGTGTAGCTTTGCGCCTTTCCTGGAACTCACTTGGTAGTCCAGGCTGGCCTCGAACTCACAGAGATCCGCCTGGCTCTGATATTTTTAAAAACACCTTGGAAATGGGAATATGAGGGAATTTCTAAAGCTTGTCAAAAAGGAGGGAGACAGGGATGGAGAAGGAAGGTAGGAAAGAGAGAGATGGTGGGGGCCGGGGGGAGGACAGGCCCTGTGATCTACAGCTAACCTACTTTACGGGGAAAACCCAAGTGCTATCCCATTGAGACGACAACAGGCAAGACCCAGGCCTTGACTCGTGCTCAGCCCTGTGCCACCACCACAGTAAAGTCGGACGGGTAGGACGGCATCCAGATCAGAAGGGCAGCCACACAACCAACCCATTTCCACAGAGCACGGTGGTCTCTGTGGAGCTGCTCTGAGAATCCACAGAGAAACCTGCAGAATGAACAGGGCACTTAGCAAGTTCAACAAGAGAGGAGAAACATACGAAAGTCATCGCATCCCCATATCACAGACACGAGCACCGAAATGTTACACTACCATTTTTAACTGCTGAAAAAACACGTAGGTGTAAATATAGAAAAACGTGTCACACTCAAATGTCGAAAACAACAACATGTTGATGGAACCAAGCCAAGAAGTGAGGAGGCACTGTGCTCAGAACTTGGAAGACCCAACACACTAAAGATAGCCATTCTCCCCAAATGGACATCTAAGTTTAGCACAGTTCCTATCAAAATGCTAGCGAGAATCTTTGTAGATACATATGCTCAAAAACATGCCACAATTATGTGTAAGGGCAAAAGAATTAGAACGCCTGAAGTAATTCTCAATAAAAATGAAGTAGTTGAAACTTGCCAAGTTAAATACATTAGCCACGTGTAGGTTTCTTGGTTTTGTTTCTCCCCCCCTTGGGGGGGCATTAGTTGAGTATCAATTATACCTCAGTAAAGAAGAAAGTGGGGGATTGGTACAGCTGATTTCAGGATAACTACAGCTGCAGTATTTAAGACCCGACTATTGCAGAAGATTAAACACAGAAAACAGAACAGAGCAGAGGATTCAGGCAAAGGCCTGCCCAAACTTGTCCAAGTGACTT